CTCTAAAGTTCTACTTTTAAATTTTTCTTTTTTTTTTTAACATATTTGCCGGTCAAAGGTCATTTTGGAATTACACATGAATGAAAAGGTCATTTCCTCCTATTTCCTCAAGGGGAACTAGACTTCCACCACCTACCGAAGGTCCATAGTTGCCTACCCTCGTCACTCCTTCTTCCATTGAAATCGAATCTTCTTATACTCCTCTCAACTGTGTGCTATAGAAACAGATTTGTGCGGGTGCCACCTGTTGCTGCAATTTGTGAGGCAATTTTGTTTCTTCCTTTTGGCTTTTTAGATTGAATGTGGTTGTCGGTGATGGTGGTGGTGGCGCTGCATCTCTGGCTGTGTGATGGTGGTGCAATCTGGGTGGTAGTGCGATTTGGGTAGTGGTGTTGATTGTAATTAGTGCGATCTAGGTAATGGTATGTTTGGTGGTGATGACCGATTGGTGTGGTGTAGATGGTTTTGGTGTGATCTGTGTCTGTGGGGTACAATTTGGGTTGTGGTGATGGTGATGGCTATTTGTGCAGATGGCGGTGGTGGTGAGATGGTGATGAAGGTGAGAGGGGAAGGAGAGAGAACGGGTTTTCAATTTTTGAGTTTTCAAAAATGACACATTTTCAACAATTTCAAAATGGATACTCAAAATACAAAATTCAAAATAAATTCAAAACTCAAAACACAAAATTGATATTAAACTTTCTTATATTTACACATTAATTAAGCCAATATGGTACGGATCAAATTTTTGTTTTGGCACAAAGTCCAAGTAATATGGCTTGCAGTAAATGAGCTTTTCAAATCCTTTATGTTATTCCTCTTCAACTCGGATGTATAACAAAAATAGAATTATATTGTTCAAAATCATAGAGAGTTACGATTAGGTAATGACGTGTCGTCGTAATATAGCATTGACACATGTTGTACGTTGATTAATCGTTGAATGTTCTTCATAGTATGCGATTCGTCCCCACAATCAATGTGTTTGCTCATATCCCTGGCAGGGACGGAGCTATAATTATAGAGTTGTAGGGGCAAATTTCACCAAATTTTAATTGTGGGGACAAAATTAAAAAATATAAGGAATTTTTTGAAAATCTTGTGCAAAATCTTAGATTTGAAATTTAGTGGGGGCAGTTGACCCCACTACCCTCGGACTAAATCCACCACTATCGTCAGGAACACATGTCGAGAAGATGGTGCTTCATTAATTAGTCCTAATATTACTAATTATTACTGGTTAGGTTTTCTATTCAACAAGTTCTAGTCTAGCATGGCTGGGATCCCTGTAGGCTTGACCCAAATCAACGCCCTTCAATTTCTCTGGATTGGGTGGGATGCAGAGGGTTTCATTATTTTATGATTCTAAACCTTCAGTGTGCTTCGAAATATTCCACGTTAACGAATCTGGAAATTATTGGCAATGTTAGTGATGAAACAATTCCATGAAAGTTGCTAATATATGTTTCATGTGTTCATCTTTAAGTTGTGACAAATATTATGTTCGTGTTCAAATCGAGTTGAGGGTTGACATCAATTTTTTGTACATATGGTACAGTGAGCAATACTTCTGTTTTACCCTCTTCATACTTGTCTACCTATACGTTTAATGTTCTTTAGTTAATTTCACTGTAATGAAGATGTCGATTCAATGGCGATGAAATGTCAATAAATGAATTCTCATGCACAATGCACGCCTTTCGCAATCCAGATGATTCATAAATTGGAAAGACGTCCTCTTCGCCAGCAAGCTAGCAAGGGACTTGCTCTTGATAGGACCCCAAAACATGAATTTAATGCTAGGATATCGTCGATTTAGTTGCAACTTCAATTCTGTAAAAGAGTATCCAGCTTCTTGGGTAATAAAATATGTAATTTTCTGCCATGCAATAGACTTCGTTCCAATTTTACATATCAAGAAATATTGACGGAGGTTGGCGATTTTTGAGTTTACACTTTCAGAGTAAAAATTAAAATAAAGACAACGATTAACAAAGATAGTTGCCACGAGTTTAATATTAGATGCCAGCCCAATGATATCAAAATGGCTTCAATGAGCTGTTATCGGAAAAAGATTGGGCAATTATACATGATGCTACCAAAAATCGCACCTGTCGACTTCCGAGCTTGACGACGGAGAATGGGCACGAACGTGGTCTTCTGGTACCTGAAACAAAGGCGTCGAGGTGTGTCCTCGTCGCCCCTCCGATGCTTAAGTCAGATAATGAATATGAAAAATATTGGATGCTCCAAATTGTATGTAGGACGTACCTCAATAGTGAATGAGAGGGCTGTATTTATAGGAGTAGATAGTGTAGTTCAAGTGGGATTCAACTCCTTATTTTCGAGAGTGATTGTAGGGGCAAGTGTTGGAGCATAATGAGGAGTCTCAACTTACCTTAATTGGAATGTTACCAAAGGGACACACCTTCATGATTTAGGATTCCTAGGTTTGGGTGGTTGGGCAAGTCTAGGATCACTTCCAGGGTAGGGCTACTGCTACTTCGATGGGGAGCACGATGAGGGGGGCGAAGTCTACATCTCAACCTACCCGAGGACACATGCCCATCCCGAGGAGACTGACCCCGAGCTATATTTGGCTTTCTGGTGGAAAGTTGAGGCCATCATCCTCGGGTATGATGCTCGGCTCGGGATTCATCCAATCTTGGTATCATCAATACATATATTTGTGCCTCCTATGGACAGCGGCGAAGCCAGCACCCGATGAGGAGGCGTGCTGGGCTCCATCGAAACAGTGCCATGCTGTTGGGGAAGAAGGAGACCGGTGCGGGAGAGCCAGAGAGGCGAGGGTTTGGCTTCGCCGTTGTTCGCCTGTTCCTCTTCCTTTTTTTGTTTGTTTGTTTGTTTTTTTCTTTTTTTTTTTTTT